GGAAGGAGGGCGGCCGGACTACTTAGTCATCCTTCCCCTCCCCTTCCCCAGTCAGTCACTGCATCCTGCTGTGCCATCTCCCACGCCGTTCTCATTTGTTCCCCGCCACCATCCTGATCCTGGCCGCCATGGTCTCTTTCCTGTTGCACAAATTCTCAACTGGTCTCTCCCATCCCACTGTACCCCACTCTACTCTCCACCTTGCTGTTCAAAATATCTTCTTTAAAAATTCAGGTGGGATTTTATCACCCCCCTCTTTGAACCCTCCAGTGTTCTGTTGCCTTTAAGTTGAAATTCACAGCCTTCAACGGACCCCGACGCTGCAACGACATGTCCCCTCTCCCATCTTTGAAGCACTCCGCCTTTCTCTTGAGGTTCAAATTTTATTCTAGCTTTTATTATACATGTCAATCTATTTGTTGAAGCTCTGGTTAATGCCTTATGCATAATAGGGACTGAATCGGTATTTTAGTACAGATGGGGTCTCAAAGATCGCATCTCATAAAACAAAATTGTTCTGACACCACATTTATAGTTATTTTTTTCATTTTCTCTACTTCAGTGGTCTGTAACTTGTCTTGCTGTGCTATTTTCTTTTAAAGTGATTTCACTCTTCCTTTTTTATATAGTATGTCTGCTCTGTTACTTATCCTAACACTACTTTTTTTTTACTATGTTACTTTTCTTTTGTTCTCTCTTTATTGAGATATAATTGACATATAACATTGCTAACCCTACTTTTTATTCTTTTTATTTTGTAGAAGTCTACCTATACAAGTGTGCTCTTTCATTTTCCTGTACTACTTGTACAGTACATTTTTTGATCATTCACTTTTAAATCCAAACCTGCATGTGAGTCCATGCAAGCACCTGACCATTTCATTGTGTCGTCTAACGTGCCTCAGTATTTGCATATCAAAAAAGTCATGCTTGAACATTTACATATTGAAATTAATAATATTATAATTTACCTTCCTTTTATTTCTCCTTAACATTTTAGTTAGGGCTTTACACTTATTTTCTTCTTGAAATTATTTATAGGGGTGGTTAGTAGAAAACTTCAATTCAGGCTGACACAGGGGCCATTGCTAAGCATGTGTTTAAAAAGTGAGCCTTTTTGCTTGAGTGGAGAACCACTCTTTTAAACAATCCTTAAAATCTGCTTTGAAGTTGTCTATGAGTGGGGTAACTGCACCCTGGTTTGCCTGGAACAGTCCTGGTTTACTCCTGTTGTCCTAGCAGAATTAATTATGTCCCTTTCAGTATTGAGAGTTGCTGTTTGGGTGATAAATTTTCATCATCACACATTTTTAGGAGCATTTCTTCTCCTTACCATCTTGATCACATTATTCCCCTTTTCGGCAGCATTCTCTGTCTCAGTCTTTCCATGTATGTCCTTTGACAAAAAGTGCTAGGTCCCTCTGCTATTGAACTTTTCACTCCTAAAACCTGCCAGCACTCTGTTTCACTGTCCTTGAAAATCGAAGACAACTGTTTAAATACCTTCAATGCCTTGGCCTTTTTTTCCCTTACACTCGATCCTGTCTTCACCACTTCTCTTAGCTTACTGTTCTATTTTTGGCATTTCTACCTTAATCCCCTTTCCACTAATTTTTCTACATAGCCTTACTGTTCTGCCAGATTTTCATACTTTCACAAAATTAATTTTGCCTTATCTGACAACTGGCAACTTCAGATTTTTGCCTATAAATAGACCCTGCCAGTTACTTTAGCCCAAATTCTCTTTTTGTTTTGATGTAAACGCTCTCGTGTTAACTCACATTGTAATCAGCATTCCTCAGTTCCTTGTTTAGCTGCCTGCTTTATGTGTTGCTTTTGGATCGTCCCATAAACCGCTCTTAGCCTGATCTAGATGTACCTCCAGACGTCCTTCTTGTGCTATTCTTTGAGGAAATGCCATATTTTTGCTTTATTTCATTTTTTAAGGAATTTTAGCCTTTGAATTAAGATCTTTAATTCCCAAGAGTTTTAAAGATGCTTAGTCTAGTTTTTTTATTGTGGTAAAATACACATAACATAAAATTTACCATCTTAACCACTTTAAAGTATACAATTCAGTGGCGTTAAGTATTTCACAATGTTGTGCAACCATCACTGCGATCTAGTTCCAGAACTTTTCATCACCCCAAACAGAAACCCCAAACCCATTGAGCAGTTACTCCCCAAACCTTGGCAACCACTAATCTGCTTTCTGTCTCTGTAGATTTGCCTCTTCTGAACATTTTATATAAATGGAATCATACATTTTTGTGTGTGTCTGGCTTTCTTCACTTAGCAAATTTTTTTGAGGTTCATGCATGTTATGGCATGTTTCATTACTTTATTCCTTTATAAGGATGGCTGAATAATATTTCATTGTATGGATAGATGGCGTTTTGTTTATCCATTCATCAATTGATCAATCTAATTTTTATCAGATCTTTACTCCAGGATGAAATGAGTGATAAGTGCAGTGACTGATACGTGAATATTTTTAGGCGGGAGTCCTGGTGATTGGGGCTTTGGCTAGTGCTGTGGTATAGAGCATGTGTGAGAAGCCCTTGGTACCTTCTGTTTAGATGCCAGAATCTTTTTCCCTTTTTTACTTTCCTTCTCCACCTTCCTCACTTTTTTTCTTCTTTTGGTAACTAGATCATGTTTTGTTTTTTCTTTACCATTGTATTTATAGGTTTTAGAAAATACAGCTGAATAAAATTATTCATAGTCCCACCACAGAGAAACAATCAGTATTAATAACATTTTGGTATGTTTTCTTCTGGTAGTTTTCCTATGTTTGGGTATTTTATTTTATTTTTACCTAATTGTGGTCACATTGAATAGAGTTTTTGTATGCTGCTCTTTTTTTCATAAAATTCACTTATTTAACAAATATTTGAATACCTGCAGTGTGCTGGGTATTGTTCTGGATGCCTCTGGTGCATGAAGAAGAAGTTCTGGTGGGGATATGGTTTTGGAGTCATCAGCTTATAGATGATATTTAAAGCTACAGGACTGTCTAAGACCTTCTGGAGGAGAGTCAACAGTGCTCAGGGGAGGACCCAGGACTCAGCCTAGGGAATCCCACATGCAAAGGTCGAGAAGAGAAGGAGCTTGAGGAAGAGCAGGCAACGTGGTAAAAGCAGGAGAGTCTGGAGGAGAAAGTGCTTTAAAGCGAGTGGCTGCTCGTGTGACGCTCTCCTGAGCATCTGAGTGAGATGGGGAAGATTAGCCATTGGGTTTGGCAAGATGGTGGTCAGGATGAAGCTCAGTGGAGTGGCAAGGATCACAGCCCAATTGGAGTGTGCTGAGGAGCAAATGAGATAATATTTTAACATATTTCTGCATGTTTCATATATTATTAAACATAATTCCATGGCAGAATAAGATGTCTAATTGTGCATTTTACTTAACCACTTATTGTCTTCCTACTGTGTGACATTTACATCGTTTCCAATTTTTACTGTTACAAACAAGACCGAAGTGAACAGCTTTGTAAACTTTCTACTTTTAGCATCATTTCCTTTGACTGGAAGCACAGAAAGGAAGGTGCTGGTCTAAGAGCTGAGCATCTTTAGAGCCTGATTCTCATTCGCTCAGATACTTTCTGAAAGGACTGACTGGTTTGCACTTCCCCCAGCAGTGTCTGAGGTGCCCCCACATCTTGACTGCAGTTGTCAGTTGGGTCCTCCCAGAACAGATTTCTCCTTTGATCAACTTAGAAGTTCTTTTAACCTTGAACAGAGAATTGAATGACAAGAACCCAACCCAGATTATAGAGTGAAAACTATAAACAGCTCACTAAATAGTTATATTAAACAGAAATACATGTACAATAATTGCCAATCTGTATGGAACCACAGCTTAAATGTGATGCTGGCGTTTGTTATTAATCCTTTTTCACTAAGGTTCTGGTGAAACTTTAAACCAGATATGGCTGAGGGAGATGCCATGATCTTCATCCTCCCTTCCTCTGTTCCTATGCATTCACACAGATGTGATCAGTGCCCATATTTAAGGCAGTTTACCCTTTTCCAGTAAACACCCTGCGAATCTTCCATTGCAGCTGCCTGCTGATATCAAGGAATGACTTCTGCCCTTTCCATGCATGCCTTGGGTGGGGTTTTATAAACATTCCTACCTTGTGGCAAAAAGAGAACAACTTCCAGGCTGATCACCATCTCAAAAATTTCCTCTCCTCCCCCTCCCCGTTCCTCAGAAACATGCCACCACTTTATAGTCACTTCCTGGTCACAGGATGAATTGGTCTCCCCTGAAGCAGCTGGATAAAAGTGCTGACCTAGCTGCCTTGCTGGGTTTGCTGTTTAACTGCTTCCTGCCCAGCATGGCAGCGCCTCCCCCGGGACCGGCCGTGCCCAGTGTGCTGCTGGTGCATGGTCTGGTGAGGTCCTGGCTCCACCATAGCTCATCTCCAGTGATCTGCTCCATTCCAGCAGGACAGATACTGCTATTTGCTGGGTCTTAAGTAGAAAGATGGGGTGTTGATTGTGTCAAATGTGAATGGACGTGGTAAGAGGGATGCGTGTGCATCTCCCTCCCTCCCTTCACCTGGGTCATTTTCTGGAGAGAGCCTGGGTCACCACAGATAATCCCCAAAGTGGAAGGTCCAGTGGCATATAACAGCTCAGCAGATGGGTTGAGTGTTCTAGAATAGGCAGGCCTGGGTGCATTTCTGCACTGGCTCTGTGACTTGAGAGGGCAACTTAACTTCTCTGAATCTCATTTTTCTCATTTGTTTGAAAAATAGAAGGATGATGTACCAGCTGCCTTAAATTATTGCAGGAAATCCATGCAAATTATGTACATTGTATGTAAAGGGCCCCCCATGGTGCCTGACTCAGTCTGGGCTCAGGCAGGGTGAACTGTTTCCCTCATTATGCCACCCCACCCTCCTATTGACACTTCCTGACTTTCATTGCTCCAAGTTGCTGGCTCAGATCTGAACCTCTTTAATCCTCTTTCTCTTTTTTTTCCACTTGCAGGAGGCTTTGTGAAGAAGCATGGTCAGCCTGTTGTTCCCAAAACTTTAGGGTAAGTTCTAGGATGTTCAAGCCAGGGGAAGGGCTGGATTGGCTTTTCCTGCTGACTTTACAGAACAGGTCCAGGGAGTAAGTCTTCCTGAGCATCCTGGGTTATAATAACTAAAGTGGGAGCCTATTGGGATGTGATGTGTCATTCACATAGCACCTCCTGACCTGGCGGCCTTTGTGACTATCTCCTTTGACTGGTCCAGCTGCTAAATGCTGAGGAAGCAGGTTATGTGACCATAGTCTGCAGGGATCTCTAACAACCATGGCAATAGTCAGAAAACTTAAATAAGCAGACTAAGAGAGGCAATCAACATGTGACACTTCCTATGGAAAGTAAACCAGTCTTGGTAAGGGTAAGTAACAGTAGCTGCTGTAACAGACAAGCTCCCAAATCCCAATGGCTAGCATAGGAAAACATTTCTTAGTCAAGCAAAATCAATTCAGATATTCTTGAACAGGTGGAGAAACTTCCCATTATCTTTCAGGGACCCAGCCTCCTTCCATTTTGTGACTCCATCATCTCCTAGGCCTTGGAGCCCCTGCTCGCCCCTCTGCATCTACCCAGAAGAGTGGGCAGGAGAGAGTGTGGGAGAATCTCACAGGAGGTTTTTATGGGTTCAGCATAGAAGTGGCATACAGCACTTCTGCTTGTAGTCTCTTGGCCACAACACGGGCTTTTGGCCGGAACTCACTAGAATTCAGGTATACCTTACTTCAAGGGAGGCTAGTAAATGAAGTCTAGCTGCATGCCCAGGAGGTAGAGGAAATAGGTTTTGGTGCCACAGATTTTTCCAGAGGGTGCATCAGAAATGTGGTTGAGGCATAGAGTTGGGAAGGCTGCCAAAGCAACCCAAAGGCTGGTTTCTGATCCCCAACTTAAGTGACTTTGTGGGGGGAGGTGTGGGTGGAGCACGGTGCACAGAGAAGAGGATCTGAATTGCTGCTGGGTTCTCTGCTGATTTCTTTCCAGGGACAGATTTGCAACCCCCGCAGTGGAGACCCGTCCTAGCATCTGGGGAGAGTGCCCACCAAAGTTTGCTACCAAGCTGGGCCGAGCCATCGTCAGAGAAGGACAGATGGGACGATTCTCCTGCAAGATCACTGGCCGGCCCCAACCACAGGTCACCTGGCTCAAGGTGAGGTTTTGTCTGCCTAACTCTGGCCCAGGCCTGGGGACCCTGAGAGTTCAAGGTTGGGCCCTTGGACTAGTGGGAGTCTGTCTTTCCGATTAATCCCTTCTGTTTCAGCCATAGATGGGTCTCCAGGGTTCTTTGTATGTTTGATAGCTACACTTGTTCTTGCCCCTGTTTGCACCCTCTCCTTCTGTTACTCTGTCCACAGTGTCCTATAAGCCACACATGCACAAAACAGCATAAAACTTCTGAGTCAAGACAGACCTGACCATCTCATGATTTGAAGTCATGGGACTAGGTTTCTAGGTTCAAGCCGCAGCTCCCTGGTTCACAAAGCTTGTGAACTCGGCAAGTCATTTGAGCTCTTGGAACCCTGGCTTCCTTTTCTGTGAGGCAGATATCATCCCACCTACTTCAGAATACTGTTGGGAGGCACCATGTGGAAGTGCTTTATAGTTATTCAGGGCTGGGTGAGATGGAGGAGGTGGTGGTGGAGAGAGAAGCAGAGGCAGTGGGGTCGGGGATGTTAAACAGGGCAATGAGGAGCCCTAGGGAACTCTTGGGGTCAGGCCAGGGAGAGTAGATTTTTCCCAAATGGAACTCCTGGATAAAAATGAGTGATGGGACATCTTTTACGCATTTCCTAATTCTCCTGAACTGACCTGGGGAAAATCCTAAAAGGAAGAGGAGGCAAAGGAGAACTGAAGTGGGGAATGTAGGACTTCCCCCCTCAATCTAGGGCTCCTTTGAGACAGTTCCATATGTCTTCTCTGAGCTGGAGCAAACACCGCACCATGTGCATGGACCTCGAGTCACGGCCCCTGGATTGTCCAAAGACTGCTCTCTGAGCATGTTGACGGAGCCCAGAGCAGAGGCCTCTGCTGCTCTGCCCCCACCAGGATTGGCAGGAGGTAGGAGGATAATCCCGAAATGTGGGCAGGTTTCTCTGACTGCACTACCCTATTGCCATCCTCAGGGAGATGTTCCCCTGCAGCCGAGTGCCCGGGTGTCTATGTCTGAGAAGAATGGGATGCAAGTTCTGGAAATCCAGGAGGTCAACCAAGATGATGTGGGAGTGTACACATGCATGGTGGTGAACGGGTCAGGGAAGGCCTCCATGTCAGCAGAACTTTGCATCCAAGGTATCAACTGGTGGGGAGGGCTCGTGCAGGACCATCCTTCCTGGGGTTCGTACCCCCTAGAAGGAGCTACTTGTTCATTACACATCTGGGTGTTACGTGTGTCACACTTACATATCCATGTGTTCCCTGGGGCAAGATCGCGAACCAGAAGAAAGGAAGTGGGTGGCAGCACAGATGCAGCCACGGAGGAAGATGCTTCACTTGTGTCGCCACACTCCACCCCATGCCTGTGTCTTCAGTCTTTTCTTCTTGCTCAGACTTCTTTTTTGTGTCTCTAATTGCTGATTGGAAGAGCAAACATTGCTGATGTCTTGCCATCACCCCAAATCTAACTGCTTAAAATGTAACTCAGCGTCCACTTTGTCCTTTGAATCGAGGCTCCCTCACCTCTTTCCACCCTAGTATCCTCGTTGTCCTTCTCACCCCACCTGGGCATTTCAGTATCATCTTTGACCCCTGTCTCCTCCTCACTGTAGTCATCAGCCCCTGTTGGTTCTTCCTTTGAAGTCTCTTTGAACATGTTTCCTCCTTACATTCCCTGTGGTTCCACCAAGTCCAGCCTGGGGACCTCGGAGTGTGCGGCCAGAGACAGGGATTGATGTCACCTCATTGGAGCGGGAACCTTGAGCAGGGTGGGATTTTGGGGATTGACAGGGGGGACACGACCTTGCCTCTCCCCTCCTCCTGTCTTACTGTCTTTTCTTCTTTGACTTTTCTCTGCCACCTCTCCTTGCTCTCATTAGCATTTTTGGCCCAAGTGTTTTTCACAACCCACAGAAAGAAATTTATTCTACATGGCAACCCAGGACATACATGCATATATAACACATAATTAACTGAAACCAGTTTCGTGAAACAGTCCTGAGTTGTACTATACATGGTGCATGCTGGCATTTTCTATTGCATTCTACACCTTTAAGGGAAAAAACATCCTCGTCCTGACCGAAGGATCTGACTTCACAACTCACTGCAGGATCAGGACCTGCTGTCAGGCACTGAGGGGAGGGTTGTAGTCTCCCTCCCATTACTTGTCGGAGCGCTGAATTCAGAACTGTTCCCTCCTCAAGCACTGAATGACAAAATGATATGCTGCCTGGGATTTGCTTCCAATACCCCCAGAAAAAGCCCCTCAAAACCACAAAACCAAAAGGGATAACTAACGCTGGCAAATGTTGATATTTCCTTCCTGAAGGCGATGTTCTTCAGGATTTATCATAGGCTTCTCTCTACTATTGTATATTTTTAAATTTCCCATGATAAAATTTTAAAAAATAATGTGGCAGGAAAAAATATATGTTGTATGTTTTTTTCTTTGAATAATTGAATACAATTACACTTTCCCTGTACATTTTTAAAGCAGGTGGTTGTCAAAAATGATCACTTTGGGGGTTTGTTTTTGAGGGCCACATGTAAGTTAAGCAGTGTGGGCTTGAAATTTTCAGTGGGTGTTTATTTTGTTTGCCTCTCAATGGGGTTTTGTTTCCTTCTGTAGCCTGGTAACAGGACAGACCCCATGCCATGGAATATGGTAGCAGGGGCCACCAGGGCAGCAGTGGAAGTGTTGACAGTGTGTCCAGGGCTCCGAGGAGTTTGTCAGATTAACCCAAGAAGTCCAGGACCAGGGAAGCTGAAAGGAGTGAGGGAGGTGGGACCACAGGTGACAGAGCCAATGAGAGCTCAGAGAGTGAAAACTCTGTAATGTATGAGATTCTTGCCTTATCACTGTGTCCTCAGTGTATAAAACATCCCACTAACAGTCTTTCTACCCTTCTGCCTTTTTCCAGGTTCGGACAATGCCAATAGGTATGTCTAGGCTTTGTGATTGTTATGTTGCAGTTGAAATGTCCTGCTAGAGAAGAGGGATGGTAATTGAGAAACACCCTGAATTTCTGAGTCGTCAGATGCGGGGGAGAACTGACTGTTTGGGAAGGACTGTTTTATTTGGGGTGTTTTGTTTTGTTCTCCTATCGTAACGTGCCATACAGGCTCCATATCAGGCTCGCCATCGGTGTTGAGACTCTCAAAGACTCAGTGCCATCGTCTTTCTCAGTATCCGCTCAGTATGGTTACTGGTTAAGAAGGGCACTCTACCCTGAAAAGGATGCTTTACACGGTCCAGGCTAGAATCCCCCCGCTCCTCCAGCTCATCTTCATCAGGAGCTTCCTTTCCTGTGTGCGGGGCTCAGTGCCAGATGTGGGGTATGCGGGGTTAGCAGAGGTCTAGTGGAGAGAAGGGCTTTAAACAGAGCTGCATGAATATACCGTGACAAACTGTGATGCATCTATGAGGAAGAATAACAGAGAAGCGCTCATGTAGATTAGAGGGTCCCAGAAACCTTTTCTGAAAACCTGAAGTTTGAGCTCAGGCCTGTGAAGAGCAATATTAGCTCGGTGAAGGAAAGCTCAGGGAGAAAGCATTCCAACAGAGGGGCCAGCGTGTGTGAAAGCAGTGAGATGAGAGGTGGGCACTGGGGGGGCCCAAAAGAACGCCCTTGTGGCTGCAGCCTGGTGGGCAGCGGAGGTTCAAGAGGCAGCCGGAGCCAGCTCACGTGGGGGCATCCTTACAGGCTGTCCTGTGAAACTCAGCTTTATACTTACTATAGTGGGAAAGCTCTTGGAAAATCCTTAAACTTGTAATAACAGCATTTGATTTATGTGTTTAGAAGAGTGACTGTGCTGGCTATATGGAGCGTGGATTAGAGAGGGCGGGCGTGACAAGGGGAAACCATTCGTGTGGTGTGAACTAGGACGGTGCTCGTGGAGAAGAGACAAGGCAGATTTAATAAGTGTAGATAGAGCAGGCTTGGATTAGGGGTGCAGGACAGGGAAGTGTCAAGAATGGCTGCTTGTTTCAGGCTTGAAACTGAGGAAACTGCAAGAAAGATCTTTGCTCTTGTTCCCTCTCTAAATCTGTGGGCTTCGTGGTCCCTGGAATCTGCTGGTGATGAATAATGCTTGTGAACAAGCAGGTGATCATTCTGTCCCTCCTTCTCCTTCCCCACTGTCCTCCCCACCACCACCACCACCACCAAACAGGTCATTTGTGAGAGGAACCAAGGCAGCCAATTCTGATATCAGGAAGCAAGTGACCAATGGAATCACGCAGGGGCCAACACTGGACAGCCTGGACACTGCAGCTCAACGCAAGAACTGCTCCAGCACCCAGCGGGGCTCCCCTGCCTGGGCCACAAGTAGCCAGCCTCAGCCCCTGAGGGAATCCAATCTGGAGCAGGGGGACTCATCTAGAAAGGCCCTGAGAACCCCCATCCAGACTTCCAGTACCATCACCCTGCAGGCCGCAAAAGTCCAGCCAGAACCAAGAGCACCGGTCTCGAGTGCCCTCTCTCCTTCCAGAGAAGAGAGAGAGAGCCCAGCTGTTCCCCCTCCAGCCACCCTCCCCACCAGGCAGTCTGGCCTGGGAAGCCAAGAAGTTGTGAGCAAGGTTGCTACCAGGAAAGTCCCCATGGACAGCTGGAGGGATTCAACATTCCCCAAATTCGAGAGCAAGCCCCAAAGCCAGGAAGTCAGTGAAGATCAAACAGTCAAGTTCAGATGTGAGGGTGAGTAGAACTAATGAAGGTCGCTGGACCCCACAGTGTAGTCCCTGGCTAGCCATCCGTTCCTTCACTGCAGTGTCTGAGCCTCCTGTGTCCACTCATCCCCTTGCACTAGACTCTCATCCTGCCTCCAGGAAGCCACCTTACAGGGGTCTTCCCTCAGGCAGGACTCAGTCTAGTCATGTCCCTTGTTCTGGAGAAGCACCCAACAGTAGCCCATTGTTCATTGATGGATAGAGCATCAACCCTGCACCCTAATTCTTACTACCCTAGAGGGGAAGACCCATTACCACCATCACCTTCACAAAACAAGCTGCAGGGTCTCCTTCTCTTTCGTCCCTTCTGCTGGCTTTGGCTGATCTGGAGACCTGGCTTGTCACCCTTGTATCCCTCATCCCCAAGTACCCTGCCTCTGTCTTGGGATAGTTACTCTTGTGGAGTGGAGGGTTGAGGGGTCTCAAGCTGGAGGGCAACTGCACGCTAGACTGAGCTCTTCCCTCAAGTTCGGGCCCCCCATACCCCACAAGCCCGGTATGCTCTCCGGGCGCCTCACTTCCTTCATCTGGCCCTGTAGTTTCAGGAATCCCAAAACCCGAAGTGACCTGGTTCCTGGAAGGTGCCCCCGTGAGGAGACAAGAAGACACCATTGAGGTTTATGAAGATGGCAGGTCCCATTACCTCTGCCTGCTGAGAGCCCAGGTGAAGGACAGCGGGAGCTACAGCTGCACAGCCTCCAACGTCCGAGGCCAGGTGTCCTGTGGCTGGACACTCCTGGTGAAAAGTGAGTACACCCCTCCGGGTCACCCTGGGTTCTCTGTTGGAGGACCATTCGTGGGGTGCTCATATACCACACAAGTGTCGCCTCCTACAGCCCCCGCCCAGGGTGTACAACCCAACAGAAACGTCATCCCCATCCGCATGCCAAGACCAAAGTCATTGCTCAGGGACAGTGATTCCTGGTCAGGAATTCATGGCAGTATCACCTCAAAATAAGCACGCCCAGGCCCTAGGCCCTACCCAGCTGAGACCTCCCTTTGTAGTTTCCTCAGCTGTCTGAGTGGTGCCATGTCTCCCTTCATGACCAGAGAGCCGAGCGTTCACTAAACATATGCGGTTAGAGTAATGTGAGATGATGTGGTATCCCACATCTTTTATGTTTCTTGTAATGTCTGTTTATAAAAGTTAATGCGTGTTCATTGTGGGGAATTTAAGCAATATATAATCTTATGACTCAGAAATAAACGGTATTTTAATGTTTTTAAAACAAAATCGGCATTCTGCTTTTGTGTACTGCTTTCTATTCTGATTTGCTCATGTTACATAAGTAGGTTACAAAAGTATCTTTCTATACTATTTCTTTCTATATTATTTAATATTACTTGAAAACATTAAAACATTAAAAATGGCCATGTAATATTTCATAGAATAATGCATCTAATTTAGGCCTCCTATTATTATTGAATATTTAGGTTGTTTCCATTGTTTCAGTATGGTAACAAAACTGTGATAAATATCCTTGTACCCATCTGTCTCTATATAAAATTTCCCCCTCACTTTAACTGCTATTTAGGGACCCTAGGCCCATGTCGTACTGTTGAGGAACATATTAAACCACAAGGATAGAGTCAGCAAATTTCAGGCTGTTGGAAAGTCTGTGGGACAAATAACCTTTGCCTATTTTCTTCAACAAATGTACTGGGGCTTTAGGGAGAAGAAAGAAAAAAAAAGAGGAAGATTGACAACAGATGTTATCTCAGGGCCAATCTTCCTTTAAAAAAAAAAAGATATGTAAGTGGCGCCAACAATTGCTATACACGGACCTAGCATGGATCCTGATTGAGATGCCTTAAAAAACTTGCGTGAGAATATGAGGAGAACTTGAGCGTTGATAAGATATTTGGTATAAAGGAACTAGTGCTATTTTTAAGATGCGATGGTGGTCTTGTGGATATTTTTTTAAGTCCATATATTTTAGACATATTAATTGAGTTATTCACTGGTGAAGTGATATGGTTTCTGATATTTGCTTCAGAAATAATCCATGTGTGGTGGGAGTTGGTGGGGGTATAAATGAATTGAGATTGGCCATGAGTTGATAATTATTGAAATTGAGAAACAGGTATATGGTGACTCATTATGTTGCTTTCCCTACTTTTGTGTGTGCCTGAAATTTGTCATAATAAACTTTTCAAAAAAGAAGAAAGGAAAAGAAAAGGACTTAGTGGTTCATCCAGATAGTAGAATGCCATGCAGCCTGTACAACAAATGTGGCTGGCCTGTAGACGCCAATGTGAAAGTGTCCAAGATGTTTGTGTGTGCATAAAACATTTCGGGAAGGGTCCACAAGTTGCCTCCAGGGAAGGAAACAATGGATCCATAGGAAGGGGTGGGAGGTAGTCTGACTTTCACTATGTACTGTTGACTCACTTCCTAATTGGGATTTGTCTATGTTCATGCCTTTGCAAGGAATATTATCCATTCTTTTTGGAGGTGGGAGTGCCTACAGGCAGAGTTCACAGGTCCAGGAGCCCAACCAAGCCTTATCATCCAGGCTGTGTGTCAGGGCAGGGGACACACACATGGCATCATGTCCACCAAAGGTTAAAAACGTGCTTTCGTTGGAGTGTTAGCTGTTATTGTTAAATGGAACTGCACACAGAGACTATATGTGCAGAAAGTTGGGGTGAAGGAGAATGTTGGTTCTCAGAGCTACTGCAGAGCTGGGGCAGGGGGATGGGAATTGAGCAGGCCACAGAGCTTGCTGTTCTTACCAAGATCCCACTGTTGGTTTGTTTTTGAATGAATGCTCTGCAGAATGTTGTAAGCCTTTGGTGAATGTCCAGAGTTCTGAAAAAGTTGATCTTGACAATTTTTGCCAGTGTTCTTGTTGCTTGTTTGAGGAGCAGATTTTCAGAAGTCCTTATTCGGCCGTTCCAGAAGTTCTTCTGGACTCTCTTTCTTCTTGGAGACGCTAATTGTTCTAAAACTTCTCCAGATGACTTCACCAAGATGCAAGTCGTGGGATGTGTGTTCTTTTAGCTTCTCCTCAAACCCTGTTTCTCTCTTTTTCCTATCACTGCAGTAAAGCTGTCTGTTTCCCTTACCCAGACTTCTCTTTCCATCCCTTCCCATCTCCACAAAGATGGTATCTAATAATGATTTACTCTCCCATCGTTTCTTCCATCTCTGTCCCACCCCTTATCTAGAGGCCTCTTTTTCCTCCCTACAAGCTTGCTCTGGTCTTCCCTAGGCTGAAGGAGGGAAGAAAATCTTCCTTCTGCTCCACTGCCCCCTCAGCTCCTACTTTCTCTCTCCTCTCTCTTTCACCCCCAAACTTGCTGCAAGTGTAGCCTGTGTGCACAGCTTCCATTTGGTAATACATCTAACACTCCACTGAAGCATGTTCACTGTGCCAGGCTTTGTGCTCAATGCATTACATGTGTTCCATTTCGTTATCCCAATAGTCTTATGAGATAATTATAGTTACACCCATTTTCCAGATGAGAATACTGAGCTGTAGTGAGGTTAAGTGACTTGTCCAAGGTCACATGCCTTGTAAGAGATAGCATATTTCTCACCCATGTTGGTCTGACATGAAAGCCCATATTCTTTTCAGTGACTCCCCAAAGCGTTTCTCTAATGAGGGAATTTGACACTGGCAGGGGGAAGGGGTGCAGGTAGCGCCTCCCCACACCTCTCGAGGTTGTCTGTCCTCGCTTCCCTCAGTGTCAGTCCCGTTCAGAGGCACCATCATTCTGACTTGGAGCTGCTGTCCCACTGCCTCCTCTCCCCTTAGGGGCGCTCTGTTCTAGAGGAGGAAGTGTGGGTGCAGAGGCAGAGAGCTGGGCATAAAGCCAGGCTTCTCCAGGAGGTTTGATCATGGGAAATTATTGACTCTGTCTGAAAAATGAGCTAAAGGAAGCAGCCTCATGGCATTGTCACAGTCGCATCTGGAGAAGTACCTGGCACGTGGGAAGCCCTCAGGTACTAGTTTTTGCCCTTAAGTTCCTGCAATATAATATGACTTTCTCCTCATCGCTGTATTGAATAGCTTCTCTTGAAAAGCACAGTGAGATATCTTCTAATCACCAAATCCAGGTACTTCCTCTCAGCTGTCAGCCACCTTGACATTTCTGCAGCGTGTTCGGGATGTTGTAGAAGACAGTATCTATCCCTGTTGCTCTTAATTAAGGTCTCCAAACTACAAAATGCTCCCCAATTCACCAATGTGGAAGGCTTCTGGAAAGTTCAGGTTGGTGGTTCTCAACTGGAATGTGCATCAGAATCATGAGGGAATTTAGTAATGCATAGTCCCAGGCCCCCCGCACTTCTGAACTGTTGGCCTAGGGTGGAAAACTAGAACACATGCAAGTCTTTGTCATTTGATTCAGTCCTGGAATTTGGAAAAATAATTATGATCATTCAAGGTTGAAACGTCCTCACCAGGGGCTGTGTGGCCTCTACAAGTAAAAAGATATTCCCAAGACTGTACAGGGTCTGATGGGATGTGCTGAAGAAGCGAGGAGACACTAGACAGTAGAGTGGGACCGAGAAAGGGGGAAGAAGGAGCTCTGGGCATGCTCCAGGACAGCAGCAGTCAAGACTGACAGGAGGGGCCCGAGTCCCCAAGGAGAGGAGGCAGGCCCAGCTCCTGAGAGTGCCCAGACCTAGGGTGTTTTGTGACCGTGAAAAAGCCCCTGCCAGTTACTCTGCCTCAAGCTCCAGACTCTACACCCGTGGTACTGCCTGCTTCCAAGTGTGAAGATGGTACAGGCGTCTGCCTGCGGGCAGTCACCAGAGAGGGCCCGCTGTGGTCTGAGGTGGCCTGTCTGTTCTCTGCTCTCGCAGGGCTGGCCATGATGGAGGTGGCCCCCTCATTCTCCAGTGTCCTGAAGGACTGCACTGTCACCCAGGGCCAGGATTTTGTGCTGCAGTGCTAGGTGCAGGTGACCCCGGTACCCCGAATCACGTGGCTGCTCAATGGTGAGTGCCCGGCCCGAGCCCCCTGCCCCAGCAGCTGACCCTAGCCCCCTGCTCAGCCCCCTGGGCGCTTCAGCCCTGCCTGCATTATCGCTTGGCTTCCTCCATTTATCACTCTGAAACATTTATGCATAAGAAGGAAGTACAGGGTACAAAGAGAGCATGGGACCCAGAGTCCCCTATTGCCTGGCTGGGGACACTGGGCTAGTTACCACTCCACCTGAGCCTTGAGCTCCTTGTCTGTAAGCCAGGAATAATGCCACCTACCGTCCAGGGTGGCAGTTGTGAAAATTAAATTAGATTTTTTATCTAAAACCATTAACGAGGTGCTTAGCACATAGGTACACAAGCAATTTAGTTCCTTTTTTTATGGCCAGGCTCATAGGAGGCCCTCAGTAGATATTTGCTGAGTCAATAAATGAACAAATAAACTAACAAATTAATGAACCACACCAGAAGTTGCTCAGGGGACCCTGCCTTTTATTTAGTGGCAGGTGGTTTGGGAGTTCATAGACCAGTAATTCCTTTTAATGTTGTAGTCCTATAGAGACATGCCAACCCTTTTTGGTTTTTTTTTCTTTTGCCAAGTAGAGTCCTTTGAAAAAATTAATTATCGTATATTATCAGCTTTCTCTTTTTAAAAAAGCCTTTAAATTCCAAAAGGATGGGCAAACTCTAATTTTAGGACTGAGAGCAGTCCGTAAACTTGATGAAATTGAGCAGGGTCTATTTCATGGATCCACAGGGAGGATGAAGGAGCACCTGCCAGGAGTCGGGAGACAAGGGTACTCGTCCTTCCCT